CTACATTCCCAATAGTTTAATCCAGTCTTTCCCATACTTATGACTTTTGTGTACATTTTCTAAACGTTTCGTAACTCTGTGTACCACTAATAAAGAAATGAATGTACATTTTACGATAAAAAAATTGCACAAAAGCTAAAAATCGCAACTGACTGTTGGCACCACTAATTATTAGCTGTTAACTCTGCAAAAAATAGCTAATAGAAAAATACGTAATCGTAAATTTTCATGACTAAGTTTGTTTTTAAATAAAATTTTTGAAATTTTCGTTTGTTGCAAGATATTTGACATAAGAACGCGTACCCCCGCTAAACTGTTCCCGTACCCCTGGGGGTACGTGTACCAAATTTTGGGAAACACTGGCTTATTCCGAAGAGCAGTCCAGAGTCCGGACATTATAATGTTAATTTTACTTTTTGCGAGTACTTTTTCTCGAGTACTTTTTGAGCGAATTGAAAAATGTTTGGTCAAATTATAAAATTCGTTTATTCAAAGAAGCAAAAAATAACTTTTAGATAATATTTATTGTTTTTCTTATTTTATTTAATAAAGGTCGAAAAAAATTTGAAATGTGGGATATATAATTTTTACATCGTTTTAAAAAATTTATTTCACATCGCAAAATACAAAATATGATGAAAATAAGCAAAAGGTGAATAAAAAGCAATTACATCTGTCAATACTTAAATGTTGTTGAATTGTATTATAGAAATAAGAATTTATATAGTTAGCATACTCTTTTTAATCCAAGTCATGTTCCCTTTTATTAAAAATTAAGCTTAGCCCATTCATTAAGATACGTGAAAGAAATACTAAGAGCTATATTTATCTCTATAACTATTACTTCAGATTTGCTTCAAATTTTTAATAAAATTCAATTACTGGAAGTGATTTTTTAAATAAGTTTCTTTAAAAATTCCTCCTTGCTTAATATTGTATTTTCTTTTACTGTTTTGTCCATGTGGATATTTATGAGAATTATTCTCGATAATTTTCTGCATTTCTTTCCCTCTATAAATATTTTAATCTCGTCATAAATCTCGTATTAATCTCGCAATTAATCTCATCACAAAATCTCGTGTTTTGTGACGAAACAAGAATTCTCAAATGCATGACGAAAATGGCTCACAATGCATTGTGTGAGATTGTTAATTAGAATGACGAAACTAGAATGAAGACCAGACGATCGGAACTAAATGGACGACATGTCTGTATAGTGGGCAAGAACCAGGCAGATCCTGGGTTTGAATCCCGCTTTAGGCATGGGTGCAATTTATTTTTCTATTCTATTTGTCTTTATTTTATTGTTGGGATGACGTTGATCCGCTTACGTCGTGTCGCCCATAGAAGAGTCATCAACAATGCCTTCTGTTAAACAGCCAAATGGTATTGTTTTAAGAATGAAATAAAATCATGAAATATCTCTTAAAATTACGAAATTCATTTCCTTAAAAAAGAGGTGATTGTAATTTCATCATTTTTACAGAATCTCCCCTCAGAAACATGTACCAAGAAATTGTTTCGTAAAAGTTTCGTGAAATTTGAATACCTATTTTAGTGTATATATAATATACAGTGCAGGGGCGTTAACGTAAATGGTTGATGCTATTCATGAAAGAGACGACTGACCAAAAAATCTCAGGACAAATTTCCAGCAATTTGCGTTAAACCATGACCACACAATTTCAAATTCTATAATTTTTTCCTTCTCTCAATAACAAAGTTAACTTTGATACCCCCCCCGTCTTGATTTTTGAAAAAATTATCACTAATTTCAAAACAGTTTGAAATTTTATTGATAAGTACGCATTCGAAAATTATTTTACTTAAATTCTTCACTAATGAATTATCATTGATATGAAGTAAACATTAAAAATATTTTAATATTATGTTTTTAACATTGTTATTTTCCTTTAAAAATAATCTAGATATTCTTTCAATAATGGAGAATAAAGTATAGTTGCATCACAGAGATAAAACTTTCATAACTCACAAATGATATGAAATATTATTTTGATCAGGAGAAGCAGGGAACTATTACCACGTAGAACAGGAAATGCACTACCACGAGGATAATTTGATATTAGTATAAACTACTATTTAATATTTATTATTATTGGAACTATTTACATTAATGTCAAAAAATAAAGGTTATATAAAAATAATTAGATTTTTAATCAGGATTTTTATTTTGGAAATAAATTATTAGATATCGTTTCCCTAAAATTATTTTTCAGAAAAAAATAACTAGTTTTTTTATAATGACAATTGATTTATGATGCGTCTAAAACTTAATTTACTACTGAGAAATAAATAATCGAGGCAAATATCTTAAGTTGTGCGTTTTTAAGTTTTTATACCTTATTTCACCGATTAGTATAACAAGAAAAGTTGGAAATAAACGAATGATTGCGAAGATATAATCTAAATATTCTAAAAATTTTATAAATTAATATGTTTATATAAAAGTAATATGTTGACATAAAAGATTGATTTAAACTCGAACAATATTTTGACACCATTAAAACAAAACTTCTTACACTCGAAAAAAATCTATTTTAAAATATAGTTTTTAAAATCTTTAATCCCTAATAATATAACAATAATCAGCAAAATATATCTTTACCTAAGAATGTTGAAACTTTTTTTTTATAATTACCCTGAAATAACATTGTATTTTTATAAATTTTTCTTACTATATTTTGAACCTTCCTTATACTACAAAACTCCCTTCCTAATAACTCCCTTCCTAATACTACAAAAATGCATAGTACTGAATAAAATTTTGCTAATAATATTTTTAAAAAAACGTGTTATTGTTTCTGAATTCAAATATACAGTGCATCTTTACTCTTAGTTTAATTTCCTTGATGCTTGAGTCAGATTGTTAAAACCTAAAAAACAAAAATGCATAGATAGTACTTAATGTAAATTAGCGATAATAACTTTATTTGGAGTTTAATTTGAATTTAGGTTTTGAAACAATGTGAAAAACAAATTAAGACAAACTTGAAGAATAAAACTTAAGAATAAAAATACAAGAATATGAAACCTAATTACATTTGCTTATAAACATACTTTAAAAGCACTCGCATTTTAGTAATTCCTGTTAGTTATTTTGCATTTGGAATTTCTTGCCTGTCCTTGGTGTTAATTTTATATCAGTTAAAAATATTTCAGAAGTATGCACTATTTTTACTTCTTTGAATTTTATTGAATGTTTAATAGATAAAAGTAGCATTTTTAATTAGTTTTAAAACAAAGCCTAATGTCATTACAAGTGTAATTTTTATTTTTAAACAGTTTTTTTTCCATCTCTTTAACGTTAATGTATTAAGTTTTGTAAATTATATCTCAGTTGCTTTTGTCTAATTTATAGTATATATACGAAATGAAAATATGATACTGCCTTAAATTTAAATATGATTTTTAGGGATTGGGGATAATAATTATTGAAAGATAAAACATAAATACACCAGTAAAACAAATGTATACCAAGCATTTTTAACATAAATAAATTTGCTCTTGACAAATACTCACAAATTAATTAGTTGCAATGAATTTATGTTTTATTGCGAGTTTCTTTTCATAAAGAGTTTAATTTGTGCAAATAACAGTTTCAATGATATTTACAATATCATTTAAATTCATATGCTCAGAGAAGAACAATACATTAAAATGAATCATTTGTTATAAAAATAACTTATTCAGTTAAGTTTTCTAAAATAAATTTTGAGGTACATCACATTGTTAAAGTAATCATATGCGAAATTTAAGAAAAACAAAACTTAAATATTTAATTTGTTTGCTAAAATTAACATATGAATAAAATTTTGTAATATAACTTAGAAATTTGAAACAAAGAATAAATGGTATTGTTTTAATAAGAAAATAAAAAAAATACACGATTATTGAAATTTTTTTTTATATTAAATACGTAACACTTAATAAAAGTTAATTTAAAGTGGCTTAAACCTATGACAGATCTTATAAATAATTTAACAACAAAAAATTCAAAGCCATTTAATAACTTCTGCATTGTAAATAATCAATGCTTCTGACGCAAAAATAAAAAAATAATTTTTCTCTTTTTTATTTGTTGGGAATATGATGAAAAAAATATACACTATTATTTATTTTTTCTATTTTGCAAATGTTTCGTTTTAAGAAAGATGGCATTTTTTCTGCGTTAGTATCAAAATGCTTTATAAATTATTTACAAGACATTTAAGAGATACATTTTAATTTTAAAGTGTTTTTTTTATTGTAAATTAAAATATGTATAAGACATTCTGCATCACAATTTACAAAAGAAATGACTATAACTAAAGGCAAAAATTATTGCTTTTACTCTAACTAGCTTTAAATAATCACATACATATTTTTAAAAATTATATATTTTTTATGCATACAAACAAGTGTTAAAATCTTAATAATAGTTAAAAAATTAAATTATGTAATAAATGTCTTTCGTTTTAAAAAAGAAAGTAGGTGATTTTTTTTTTCTTACAAACAAGTTTGTTTACACATGATTAAAAATATTTTCTTTGTGTTATTAAATAAATATTTTCCATTTCAACTGTTTTCTTCCATAAAAAATTATTGTACTCGTATTTTCTTAGAATATGATATGAAATTCTTTTTTTTTTCAGAAGCATTATGCTTTCTCGATATTTTATTTTACATTTCTTTTTAAAATACAAAAACAGGTATATGTATTTAAAAAATGAAATACATATGTAACTATCTTAAATAATAATTTCCAGTCAACTGAAGTGCTATTTTAAAATTGAAAAAATTTATTTATTTTTTGTATGTTTTACTTCTTATTTTCCAAACGTTTAAACACTAAACATATTCATGTGGTTAACTATTTCCTACTTTTAAGCATTAAATAATATTTACAACCTATGCAGAAAATTTTTGTATCGTTTTTATCGATTAAAACTCCTCCATTTATATTTGTAACATATTACATTAATATTAAATTTGTAACGTACCTGAAATATATGACAGCAGAAGACAGAAGCATATTGTCGTTTTATAGACGATAATGTTCTTTTTACACCAACGAAAATTATGTCTTGGATAATCCGGCAATATCTCCATTATTCCATTAAGTAGATATGATAATGACAACTGCTCAAGATAAAGTGCAAATATATCCTCGCAGAACTCACGTGGGTAAATGATAATTATTGGTACACTTTAATAGTAACATCTGCATTAGTTTTATTGTAGTGCTGAGTAATTCTAAATAATTAAACTTGGTGAAAAAACACACCCAATCAACTTAAGTTAATCAATGCGGTTTTAGAATAATTGCTCTTGGGAGTATATTTTTTTTCTGCATTAGTAGTACATCGCATATCACCGACCACAAATACGAAACGATTTAGTGAAAGTTTTCGGTCGTGCTTTAGATGAAGAAGATGATGTTGTGATGAGTAAACGTGGTTTTTCTCTTCACTCTCTCTCACTCATACACTCACACACTCAGGCACCACACGTACTATTTGGGTCACGTGACAGTCTCTTGACAGTGGGGCGCGGTTTTTGACAGCGAGTGCAGTTTTCTACAGTTATTATTTTTACTTTTTTTTGGCCGCGGCGAAAAGACGTTCGTTTTTTTGTTCGGCTGCAGTTGGCGTGCGGAGATTCGTCTTTTCAGTGAATATTCGTAACCCGCCACGCCTGTCAGATTATTATTTCGTGAATTAGTTTCCTTTTTTTTTTACCTTATCTACCCTTTCGCAATTTAATTTTTTTAACGAAATACCTGCGTGATATTTTCGATAGTCGAAAGATTTTCTTGTTCGTAATATTCTTTATGGAAAGGGTGTGTAAAATAAGATGAATGAATGAATGTTCCAATTTTATAAAGGTATTTCCTGGAGTTAAACATTTTATGATGGTCATTTCCTTTCATGTAAAATGTTCATTTCAAAACTTATATACATATTTTTTTTAAATTACATACATTAAAAAATTACGTTGTGTTGACGTATATTAAATAGTGATTTACGGATAAATTCCGAACGCGCCTAACGAGTATTACGATATTTTTTGTTCTTACGAACTATCACGAAGTAAATTGTGTACTAATTGAGTTGTAATTAATTATACTAAATAAATTGTGAACTAATTTTGAACATAAACTTTAAATTAACAAAGTTAAAATAGAAAAAAAAAACTTTAGAAAAATATTTAAAAAAAATATGAAAGAAATAAAAAAAAACGGAACATGATTCGCAAGAAAGTAAAGGAAAAAAAAAAAGAATAAACTTTAAAAAAAGAATGAAAACTAAGATATTTTTCCTTCTAGTTCTTACTCTTTATTATTGCTAACGTTTCCTGCTTTTAAATTAAGTTTAAAACATCAGTCATGCAATGGAATAACGCATATGAATTAATAATTACAAAAATGTTACTTTGTACTTTCACATTAAATAAGTTTCTTAATTAAAAGGATGTTTTAAGTAAACTGTACAACAACGTAGCTTTTATTTTGAAAATTTAAAAATTGTGAAAAAAAAGGAGATGGTTAAGATTTTATGAAAGAAAAAACATTATTTTTTATTTAATTTGAGAAGAAAAATTGCAAAATGCAGATAATGGAATTATTTATAAAATGAGATTCCATTCTTTAATGAATCACGTGCTACAGTCAAGTCGTTCGGGGAAAAGATATTTCTCCACATCTTATCTACACAGTATTTATTATTTTTAATTTACTTTGTTAGCCTCTTATGTGCTCAGATTATTAAAATAATTATCTATAACCAATAATTATAACTTTACGGAGAAAAAAAATATTCTAGTAAAATTAGGTAATGACATTTCTGGTAAAAGAAACAACATATTTTTTGTTAATAGATCAAAATACGCGGTATTTAAACAATTCATTTATTAATATTTCGGTTCATATGATAATGATTTACTGTAATTATCGGGGCTTTTTGATAATTCTGAATTTTAAAATATTATTTCCTATTAGCAACCATTTAGTAACAAATATGAAACTAGAAAGTAAATTAACCAAGCATAATGGTTAATCTGCCATGTTTAAGGATATCATGATGAAATCAACAGATTTTACCTCATTTAGCAAATTTTATCAGACATTATAAAAGAATATTTTATTGCTAATTTTACCAAAATAACAAATCGCTTCGGTGAAAATTCTAATGCTTTTTGTCATTCCCATAACGCTAGAAACACCTTAAACTGTACCATACTCCGGTAGTATTGACCATATTTAATTTATTTGTGTTACATCTGATCAATTTTACTAAAAAATTGTATGAGCTGTGTTATTTTGAATTACTTCTATTCATTATGTACTCTAATCAGTATCTTCAATCTACATTTATATTTAAAAAAAAGCCCCAATTCGGAAAGAAGTATTTTGAAAATTTTACTGAAAATTTTATCGCTGAGATTATTTAATTGGAAGAGTTTTTTTGATGGGTGACATCTATCATTTTAATAGTTCCGAAACAGAAAAAAATGTGCGGAAATCTTTCCTGATTATTACTTAATCCTAATAACTTTTTAAACACATTCACATTCATCTTTTTAGTTAATGTGGCTCTTTTGGGCCGAATCATATAGTTTTTGTAATTAAATTAAATAAAGGGTACCTCATTTACAGTTCTCAATAAGTCAGTTCAAAAGCAGATTCTTCCCAGAAATAAGAGAACCCAACTGAAAATTCTCTTGCAAGAGTTATACAAGCTGTCACTGTTTGTATCTGATAATTGATTAATTGCGACGAGTGGTGTTATCAACGATCAAGCATCATTGACCACCTAGAAAGATTCAGAATATTGAAGGATCGATAATGTGATAGAAAAGATATAATCCTTAATACCGTTTAAATCTTCAAAGAGCTATAGATCCCAATTGTTTCAACTTGAGTAGAACTTCGTGCTCTTTATATATTTTTCACAACGATGTATATTCAAAGTAATAACAACAAAGGAAGGATGATGCATTTTAGATATTACGCTGTTAAATTATGTATTTTTCAAAAAAATATTCTTCCTGACATATCTTGCATTGCACTTTAAGATTTTTTTTTCAATTTCGAGCGCGTATAATATGTAAAAACAAATTTCAAATTTAGAAAGATGTATAAAAAGTTTTCCTTGAAAATCATTTTACCAGTACTTAAGTACATTCTTTAAACTTCCCTATAAATAATTCCCAATTTTCAATAGACTGTCTCAGCATATTTGACAATTTGAAACTGTTTTATTAAAAAAAAAGGGTTTCTTTTTTCTGTTTTCCATCCTATTCCAAAACTGATTACAAACGGAATAAAACAGATTAATGGAACAGTTCAAATTCTAGTTTTTGCCATTCAGTTTTGCTAACCATAAGATAAATTTACCTTTTTTTCAAATCATTTCACAAATATTTTTTATATCTCCTTTTAATTTTAAAAAATTATTTTATGGCTTTGAAAATCGCTTAGAACTTTTTTGATTCGAATTTGCTGTCAAACTGATACTCTACCTGTTTAGTATCTGTCTTTAGATATAATTTTTTTCCTATGTTAAGTTGCAAGACATTTTTATAAAGATGAACTGCAATAATTTTAAACGTTTATACATCTATATATGATCACAACACTGTGACCCAGGCTTCACTCCAAACGTTGAATCGTTAAACAATTTTTGCTCTTGACTCGCACCGGCCACATTGTTGTCAAAGTTACTTTATAGAGGTTTCCTTTTGCTAAATTAACAGAATTTACTAAAATAACAGAATTTTTTTGCAAATAACAGTACTTATTTGATTAAAAAACTGGTGTTCGATTTTAAATAACAAATAAATGTAATAAATTTTTCTTTGAAATAAATGGTTTAATACTGACACACCAGCTGACAGTTTCATTCCATAAATTTGACAGATTTTTCTTACAGTGTGGAGTAATTTTTTAAGCCTTTCGACATGCCTATGTATACTTAATTGCTTTCCATACATTTAATATTTTTGTAGTATCTTATGTAGGATTCTTAATATATAAATTAGTTTAAACCAAAACTACTTCACAAATTGGAGAGTCTGAATGAAAATATTCTCCCAAGTGTTATGTAAATTGCGACTGATTGTACCTGAGGATTGATTTATTAAGACAGAGGGTGTTACTAGACATCATGAAACATTATCCGTCGCAAGAGATTCAGAAGATTGAATGATTGGCAATGTTATGGAAAGCATGTAATTCGTAATATCGAGGCATATATCGTCCAAAAAATATAGATTCTAGGAGTCATGACTAAGACTAAGACTAAAAGCATGTGATGATTCTAAGACTAAGACTAAACACGTGTGATGATTACAACTACGTCACCTATATGTAATAAAAAGTCTAACAAGGGAAACTAGGGAAGTGTGACTCACCAATTTTGAAATAAACTAGTGGGATGTATACCTTATAAGGAATAATTTTAGGGGGAAACATTCGCTTCGGCCCATAGAAGGTCCTATGAGAGATAAAAAATAATTCAATATATAGGAAAATCGGTATTTTATTACTTCAATGCAGGCTATTAGTTATTGTAATTGTCTCATACTCCAATTAAATTTGTGGTACTTTCACGTACTATATAATGCATATTTATTGTCAAAATTGATTTCGAAAATTTTATATATCTGTAGTTTATCAGAAAAATCTGTTAGGTTAATTTAAAAAAAAATTGACATCAAATTTTTTAAATTTTTTTTAAAAAAATTTTTCAGATTAATTGTAGTATGTGATTGCAAATCAATTTATTAATTGATAATTAATTAACAATTGATTAATAATTAATTAACAATTCATTAGTAATTAATTTTCGGAATAATTTATTAATTAGCAAATTAATTAATTATCAAATTAATTACAAATTAATCGGATTATGAGACAATTACAATAACTAATAGTATGCATTGAAATAATAAAAAACGGATTTTTCTATATATTGAATTATTTTTTATCTCTCATAGGACCTTCTATGGGCCGAAATGAATGTTGCCCCTTAAAATATTTCCTTATAAGGTATACATCCCTCTAGTTTATTTCAAAATCGGCGAGTCACACTTCCCTAGTTTCCCTTGTAAGTGGAAAAAGATATGTTGTAGGCATTATGCTATCAGTATTTTGTGTATCTTTAAAAAAATGCGGCAGCAAAATTACATACATTTTCTTACTATGTCTTTTGGTATGTTCAAAATTAAATAATTTTTTCGTATGCAAATTTAAATAAAAAAAAAATTATTACAAATCTGAAAAAAGGGGTAAAATTTTTTTTGTCGATTATTTCGAATTTCCCACATCTATCTTGATAGTCAACTCAATATTTTTGGAATGTCTTATTTATAGTTCTCAATAAATAAATCAGTTCAACCCAGAACCACTCTACAAATAAGAGAACCCGACTGAAAATCTCTCTCGAGAATTATGTAACCTGTCACTGCTTGTATCAGAGGATTGATTTATTAAGACGGATGGTGTTACCAACCATCAAGCATCATTGGCTATCTTAAAAGATTCAGGAG